TGCCACTCCTGGCTCTGCGCCCTCTGTTCCCACTACCAGGGGCTCCGAGTTATAAGAGGACGCCGTCTCTCCACGTCAGGCACCCCAACCAGGTACGTGACACAGTATTTCTGCTATAGGGTGGTTGGGAAGCGGTTAAGAAAGCCCAGCTTGTGAGAGCTTACGCTCTAAAAGGGAGGGGCAAGTGGTACAAAGGTTTATAGCTGTGGGGGATTGAGTTGATAAAGATAAAGTTAGGCAGAGGCAGGATAGGTTTTCCTGAAGAGATTAATTTGCAGGGACCACCTAAAGGTGAACAGAGTAGGAAATAGCTGGACAATTTGAGACAGAGAGTTGCAGGGGATGGAAGAGACACTGGAGAAGTATGGAGGCAAGCATGGGTGGAGGACACAAGAGAACTAGAGAATAGGAGGTTTTAGGAGGAGCAGAGAGGATGGTTTGGGTGATCTTTTAATACAAGACTGGCAATGTAGCTCAGGGCAGAATTGTGTAGGGTTTTGTTATTAGTATTTTGAATTTTATTCAATGGTCAATCAGAAGCCCGAGGAAGAATTGGCAGAGAAGGGTGGCGGACACTTGAGAAACTGGTAAGGTACGGTAGATGAATCTGGAAGCATCTTTCATGATCTGCTGAATGGGGGGATACCCTGTGTGTGTAGTGGTAGGTCAATAAAGAGGGAGTTGTAGTCAAGGCAAGAGATAATAATGGTGTGAATGTGTAGCTCAATGGTTTCATTAGTTAGGAATGAGGGTGTATTTTAGCTATGTTATGGAGATTAAGGCGGTAACATTTAGTCATTAATTGGATTTTGGGCAGAATGGACAGGTGTAATCCATTATTACATTTAGCACCCTTGCATGATAGTTGTATAAAATGACTCAAACTAGAATATTGACAAATTGGATTTGTCACCCTTTGTCCAGTCTAACATATTATGGATTCTTTACCAAAGCATAGGAATTACTGCATACAAGTGTAGCACTGCCACCTTGGGGGTTGCTGTTGATTTGGGTTCCCCTATAGTCCTTTACAGCCAGGCAATCTGCATTCTCCACACAAGCTTGCATTTGAAGTCAGAAATCAGTCCTTGAGCTTTTGTTTTGTTGTTTAATGAGGGGATTTAGAACTGGGATAGTGTAAGGGGGGTATAGGATGCCCAAGGGAACCAATAACTGAGGACAAACTTTATGGAACTATTCACAAGCTTCTTTTCTGCAACACAGTTTCTGCTGGAGAGCTAGCCAGCATCTCCTTGATGAACCATCCCAGACCCTAGATGAAATTCTCCTTTTCTTCCAGCACTCCAGAGCTTTTCCTGAGCAGGGATCTGGCTCCTGTCCCTTTAAATGGGTAAACAGTCATTAGTAGGGGGCTAATCGGGTTTCCCCCCAGAGTGCTCCTTCCCATATCTGGCCAGGGGGTGCAAGTGTACTCACTCAAATCCTCTCCTGTGCCATTTGTGGGTTGACTGCTGTTACCAGTCCTAGTCTTTTGCCAAGCCTCCTGTTAGGGATTGGCTGAGTAACTCAAGAGTGCAGACAACCACTTCTCAGATCCACCCACTGCCTCTAAGGCCTTCCTCCAAAAGCCTCAGAGTGGGGGGGAATTCCAGAGGGGCTGGCCTGCACAGAATCTCAGCCCTGATCACAATTTGACCCCTCTGGCTTTTGCACCTGAGGTGCCACTCAGCTCCTGAATAACCATTGGAGTCTAGCTCCCCCTAGCTAAACTAGTAGGGTACTAAACAAGCATACTGCTATTTCCTGTACTGTATTGGAATTTGTATCTGTGAGCATTAGCATACAAAATCTTCTATAACAACTAGTGCTTGAACTGTGTGCGTAAGCAACATATGTACATGTGCAGCATTATACCCCTCTGCTTACAGTTCAGTGAGGCTATATAATAAAAGCTATACACACTTGAAGATTTTTGGGTTTTATTTGCTACATCAGGGTTTCTCGCCCAGCATGCTGCAGCACCCTGGGGTGCCCCAAAGAGTCCTCAGGGGTGCCATGGGAAAATCAGAAAAAACTTCCTCATCTAAGCCAGGTAAACATGTTTTACTGCCGCCTCAAGCTTTTTTCAACTGCGGTGCTAGTCTTGTACCTTCTAAACTGGCATGTAACCTACTGTGTGCTTTGATGGCTGACCGTTTCATGCCAACAGATGATGTCATTGGTTGTTAAGGAGGACAATGTGAATTTCCCATGGCTTACCTGTGCAGCTGATAGGGAAATACAGGTCAGCAAGGAGTGGGGGACTGTCTGTAGCACTCTCATCTCCTCAAGTGTTTAGTTACAATTCCTGAACTTCTCCTTGTGCAACTGGAGGTAGTGGGCGGGACTGAGGGTGTGGCCACCTCCATCCCTCACCACACAGGTGGCTGCTATGGCTGATTCCACAGCTGAAGATGGAGGTGCAGAGAGTGAGCAGCCCTGCAAGCCTCCCTTCAGCTCCAGTGCTGCAGTAAGTGGCAGATGGAGAGAGGCTTCTTCAGAAAGAATTTCATGCTTTTACTGATTGACTGCCACTACATACAACTTACTGACTGCCACTACATACCATTCACTGACTGTCCCTACCATACCGCTCACTGACTGACACTACCATACTGCTCACTGACTGACACTACCATACTGCTCACTGACTGACACTACCATACTGCTCACTGACTGACACTACCATACCGTTCACTGACTGCCACTACATACCGCTCACTGACTGCCACTACATACCGCTCACTGACTGCCACTACATACCACTCACTGACTGACACTACCATACCGCTCACTGACTGACACTACCATACTGCTCACTGACTGCCACTACATACCGCTCACTGACTGACACTACCATACTGCTCACTGACTGCCACTACATACCGCTCACTGACTGACACTACCATACTGCTCACTGACTGCCACTACATACCGCTCACTGACTGACACTACATACCATTCACTGACTGCCACTACATACCGCTCACTGACTGACACTACATACCATTCACTGACTGCCACTACCATACTGCTCACTGACTGCCACTACATACCGCTCACTGACTGCCACTACCAAAGATGCTTACTGACTGTCACTATCAGGGGCGGACTGACAACTCATGGGGCCCCCGGGCAATAGGGGATCATGGGGCCCCTGTGTCCTTGCCCAAACTCAAAAAATCCTATGAAAAAGGTACCAGGGGCATCTCATGGGGCCCCTACTGACCCCGGGCCCTCGGCAGTGCCAAGTTTCCAAATAGTCAGTCCGCCCCTGGTCACTATCATACCGCTCACTGACTACCACTACCAAAATGCTTACTGACTGCCACTATCATACCGCTCACCGACTGTCACTAACATACCGTTAACTGACTGCCACTACCATACCGCTCACAAGCTGACTGTCACCATACTGCTCACTGACTGCCCTACCACTGTACACTGCCCTATCCTGCCAGTACATACTGCTCACTGATTTCTACAGGTACAAGGCAACTACATTTAGGGTTTGTTCACACCAGGTGCCTTTAGTAGACATGCAGATGCACTTGACGTGTTCGTACCTGCTAAAATGCATGATACCGCAGTACCATGTGTTCTGGAGCGGCACAATTTTAAAAAGCGCAGCACGCTGGAATCTTCTTTGCTTGTTTCATGCGCATTGGGAAGCTCATTGAAAAACACAAAATTGCTTAAAAAAGAGTGTGTATGCTCAGACGGACCTCCTGGTGTGCCCCAAGATTCTGCAGAATTTTAAAAAACACTGTGCTACATCATATTGACATTCAAATATGCTAACAATAGTTACAGAAACCCAAAACTAAAAAATCCTATTTTTAATTTAGGCACATAATGGTTTAGCTGGTGTATGTGTGAACGCTGGTGTACATTTGAACACTGGGGGGTACAATCCAGAACAGTCTATACTTCTTTGTACTTACATAAGCTGTAGCCTGTGCTTGCGTTGTGCATATTAGGCACTGGGGTATGCACCTATGCTTTAGTCATTTAGGTCTATTGTCTTTGTAACATGTTATGCTTCTCTCTTCACCTACAATGGGGTCTCTGTAGGTCAACTGAACATGCATTAGAATTTCTAACAATAATGCATTATCATTTGGCAGGAGGATATATTACACTGTTGATGCATTTTGTCTCTAGCTCTCTAATGTTTCTGCTTAAACCTTTCACAGGGAACTAAATAAATGATAAAAATAAAAGTACCTGTATGAATAATAACCAATTTTACAGCACTTATAGCACATTAACAAAAGAACAGTTAGGCAACAGAAAACTCATTTGAGTCATAGAATTGCTGACTTCAACTCGAGAGTCTTAATTCATTGCACAGTAAATATTGTTTAAACATTTGAACGTCCTCTTATTTAAAACAATTACCACATAATTATATGGAAACTTTAAATTAACGTGATAAAAAGCACAACAACAAATTTAAATAACTTAAAATAATTGGAGGTAATTACAAAAATGGACACATGGATTAATAATTCACACAAATGGAAATGGCATAATTCACATTACAAGAAAATTGGAAATAGGGAACCTACATTTGTGAAATGGCTCATGTTACCAAATATTACCATATCGTAGAAATAAAAGAAGCCACTTTAGGTTCTATAAATATGAAACCACTTACAAATGATATTAGTGTTTTTTAGTTGTACAATACTTATTAAAAAAAGTACAATCTGACAAAAATATACAGTATGTAGATATATAGATAAAACAACTTAATTTTATCATGAAGCTCCTCCCATATCCTTGGATATGTTTAACTACTTGCCAACCACAGATAGCCGAATGACGCTACACTGCGGCCGGCTAGTTCTGGGAGGGTGTCATATGATGTCCTCCCAGAACGCACTCTCCTGCGCTCCCCCGGGGGCGCGCATCCCGGCGATCTCCGTGATCGCTGTGTCCTACGGACACAGCTGATCACGTGATGTGGTAAAAGGCCAATCACAGCGGCCTTTTACCATGTGATCAGCTGTGTCCAATGACACGCTGATCACCGGGAAATGCAATTGCCGGTTCTCGGCTGCACTTTCCTCACGCTGTCAGAGCATGAGGAAAGTACTGCCGAGAACCAGCAGTTGTCAGAGCAGAGATCGGCACCGATCATCAGGGCACTGATGATTAGTGCCCTGAGGATCGATGCCCAGCAGCGCCACCCACCAATTTCGCCCACCTGTGCCCAGCAGTGCTGCCCACTAAGTGAACCCACCTGTGCCCAGCAGTGCCCACCAGTGCCACCCAGCAGTGACACCAACCTGTGCCCAGCAATGCCCCACCTGTGCCCACCCACCTGTGCCCACCAGTGCCACCCACCTGTGCCCAACAGTGCCACCCACCAGTGCCCATCAATGCAGCCCAGCAGTGCTGCTACCAGTCAGTGCCCAGCGGTTGTGCCAGTCAGTGCCAGCAGTTGTGCCAGTCAATGCCTAGCAGTGCTGCCAGTCAGTGCCCAGCAGTGATGCCAGTCAGTGCCACATATCAGTGCTGTCTATCAGTACCCATCATCAGTGCCGCCTATCAGTGCCGCCTATCCGTGCCACCTCATTAGTGCTGCCTATCAGTGCTGCCTATCAGTGCGCTTCAGTGCTGCCTATCAGTGCCCATCAGTGCTGCCTCATCAACGCACATCAGTAAAGGAGAAAAATTACCTGTTTGAAATATTATATAATAGAAACAAAGAAACTTTTTTTTTCTTTCAAATTTTTTGCACACTTTTTGTTTATAGCGCAAAAAGTAAAGCACCCAGCGGCAATTAAATACCAAAAGAAAGCTCTATTTGTGAGAAAAAAGTGATAAAAATTTCAAATGGGTACAATCTTGCATGACAACGCAATTGTCAATCAAAATGTGACAGCGCTGAAAGCTAAAAATTGGCCTGGTAAAGAAGGGAGTATAAGGGCCCGGTAGGCAAGTGGTTAAAGCTTAACTCTGGGATGGCCAAAAAAATGCAACCACAAATATCCACAGTACTTTTTTTTGTCAAGGCAGGATATAATAAAGAGAAATACCTATCTTACTCAATGGTCTCATGGGCTTCCTCGTTGACTGACCCAATAGTGGCAACTGAACCCCCAAAGCCAGTAAGCCACTCCAATTGCAGGTGAGGGTTGCATTGTAGGTGAGGACATGAAAAGTCCACCTACATTCCTGGTGGGAATTAAGAAGAAGACTAGAGCACTGCAGAGACTACAAGTTAAAAATTAACTCCACAAATGCAACCGCTTTATAAAATGTCCTGGCATACTATGAGTTAAGTCAAATGAAGTGGACATAGATCTGACAGTTTTACAAAGCTCTGGGAGTGCGGCTATCACAATGCTCCTGACACTGTCTTCTCACAAACAGCATCTCTGCCCACCATCCCCTTTGCTGTTCATTCACAGAAGCCTTTGTATTTTCTTAGCGTTGCACCAGGGGTGGACTGACAACTCATGGGACCCCACATGCAATAAGGGATCATGGGGCCCCTGTCCAAACTCAAAAAAGCCTATGAAAAAGGTAGCAGAGGCATCTCATGCGGCCCCCTAATGACCCCGGGCCCGCGGGCAGTGCCCGAGTTTCCAAATGGTAAGTCCGCCCCTGCGCTGCACTTTTATATGTTTACAATTTGTGAATGAAGGAATTCATTATTTGTGCTAGCTGCTTGTTATTGGGTGTTTAGCGCTCATTGGTATTTATTATATTCTGTGAATGCGTTCACATACAAAAGCTCTGTGGTTGGGGAGGGGTGGGCACAGTGGTTGCATGTGACACTACAGCCTCAGGAGCTGAGACCAGGGGGTCCAGTGTCAGAGCACCATAAGCATATCAATAGTTATGTTCCAGGCACTCAGAAAATTGTAAGCTGTAAAATAAAGAGATAAGTCCATGAAATAGCATGTACCTCATTGGACTTACCCCTACTAATTCAGCACATTTTACAAAGTAGCTGAATTCCTGGAATTCAGCTTTAAGGTAAGTATTTCTATTAGTTTAAAATAGAGAAAACCATTATTGTATTGTGCATGTTGGAGGGGAGGGGGGCACACACACAGATATTTCATTTTGTTTAGCCAGACATGAGTTAATTTGCAGTTGCGGTGCTTCCAGTAGGTGTAAACCATAATTGGATGACATTAAGGCCTAAAGCTGGAGAGTGCAAAATTAGGCTCACTTCTGCATAGAAACCAATCAGCTTTTAACCTCAGCTTGTTCAATATAGCTTAGGCAATAAAACCTGGAAATTGGTTGGTTTTTATGCCGAAGTGAGCCAGATTTTGCACACTCCAGCTTTAGTAAAAAAACCATTAAGGGTCTATGTTGAAAGGGTTTGTCTATGAGAATTAAAAACCTGCTTAAAGCAGGCCAAATGCAGGTCAGGAGCAGGTTAAATGCAGGACAAATGCACCTGTCAATAAAATCTGAGTGATCTCAGAAGCATGTCAACTGATATCATCAACACAAGTCCAAGACCCTTCAACACAGGCCCTTAGTTTGCTAGAGCTCTGCATCAAAAACAATTGACATCTTTGTTTTCACTTTTAGAAAATACTGTTTTAATATTTTTTATATACCATATTGCATATCTGTTCTTTAGATATCCAGGTTCTTGAAGATTACTCCTTTCTACGTGCACTCAGTCTAGTAGAGACTGCATGTAATTAGCAAGAAAGAGCTTGCTATTGGTAATAGCAACAGAGCAGGTCAGTGCAATGAGATTTATAGTCTCCACTAGATGCACATGAAGCAAAGTAACAAACTATTTTCTCTACCTCAATCCCTCGCTATTCTCATCATCCTTTTTTCTCCTTCGGTAAAGTTATGCTGAGCCAATGATGAACCTCTTAGCTCTGCCTTTTGTATTGTTGTGTAAAAAATGTAAATTGATGTGCCACACCACTGCTAAAAGGTCTAGATATGACTTTATTCCTGTAAAAGTCAAGGGGTCAATATGAAGAGTATCTAATGTGGTTTCAGGGATCAAACAAACCTTCATTGGGGCTTGAGATCAAAAACAATGTGAATGAACTAGAAGTGAACTGGACCTTTAATGCTATCTCTTCCACTGTGACTACAAGGAATGGTCACACACCAATAAAGGTCCAGTTCACTTCTAGACCACTCACATTGAAATAAACCCATATCCAGACCCTTTAGCAGTGGTGTGGCACTTCATTTGATATTCCTGTTACATTGCAATTCCAGCAAAGGAGACCATGGAGATCCTCTGGGGTGTATAACCTGCCTGCTTGGGAACCATATTACTTATATTAACATCAAAATTTTAGGATAGCAGTACCAATAGGATACCATTATGTGTCCAGTGCTAATTTTCACTTTACTCAACTTCTGTATTATTATAGCATGTTATGGTTTTCCAGTAGCGTGAGCTCTAAAGAAGGCTCAGTGGGAAAGGGGAAGGGACATTCTGGTGCTTAAGCCCATGCTAGAATGATCCTAGCAACAACATGCCACCCCCAGTACAGCATTCCACTGGGAACATTTTTTGGGGCTAAACTCCAAGAAAACAGCTCAATACACAGTTGAAATGTGTGAATGTATGAGATATTTTACCCATCAAAGGATATGAATTTCTGTTTATCCTGTCACAGGATTTACACAGAGAGCATAGTCAGCCTGGTAAGCACATATTTTTTTTACTACAGTTTAGCAATATAACTAAGTCAATTTCCCAATCCATGCCTGAGACTGGATTGCGAAAGAGCAGCTGCACACTGATGAGGTCATCACACAAATCTATCCTCCTGTCAGAACATGCAGTTTGTCTGAATAATATCTGTTGTCTCTCCTTCTCCTAGTCTGAGTTCTGCTATACAGTGGGTTACAAGTGGATGTGTTCAAGTCAACAGCCTTAAAAATATTTCTTTGCCTCGGCCCCCTCCCCCACCCCCATCCTCCTCATCATTAATCAAGTTGATAATTTTAAAAACGCAGTTTGAGGAGTTCCTTGTCAAGCACTGCATTTTGAATAAATAAAAAACTATTAAATATACCCATCAGTTTCAAACTAACATAATTACATGCCAGAGGTGTTTACTTTGTGAAAAATATCAATTGGCATGATAACAGTCCACTTCCCTGTTTCTTTTGTACTCATTGTCTTATTAGTAGATGGGACTTTATGCATACATCTCTCTGTGGTCACACACCAAGAAAGGTCAAGTTCACTTCTAGTCCACTCACACTGAAATAAACCCATATCTGGATCTTTTAGCAGTGGTGTGGCACTGTCATAGGCTGGCTGATATAAAAGGTCACATGATCAGCATGCCAAGATCATGAGATGCTATCAACTTGGCAATGGCATGGAGTAGGCAGAGTCAAAGTCTTTCCAAAAAGACATACACTCACTTGCACATACATACGCCACTTTATTAGGTACACCATGGTAGTGCCAAGACAATATCCCCCACACCACCACCAGCCTGAACCACTGATACAAGCAGGATGGATCCATGCTTTCATGTTGTTTATGACAAATTTTGATCCTACTATGTCGCAGCAACCAGTCTGCCCATTCTCCTTTGACCTCTGACATCAACAAAGTATTTTTGTCCACACAACTGCCACTCACTGGATATTTACTCTTTTTTGGACCATTCTCTGTAAAGCCTAGAGATGGTTGTGCGTGAAAATCCCAGTAGATCAACAGTTTTTGAAATACTCAGTCCAGTTTGTCTGGCACCATCAGAGTCACCTAAATCCCCTTTCTTCCCCATTCTGATGCTCGGTTTGAACTTCAGCAACTTATCTTCACTACATCTACATGTCTAAATGCATTGAGTTGCTGCCATGTGATTGGCTGATTAGCAATTTGTGTTACCAAGCAATTGAACAAGTGTACCTAATAAAGTGGCCGGTAAGTGTATAACACAGTCACATTTTATACATTTTGATTATATAAAAATTTAAGTGGGCAATGCCAATTTTATTTTAGTTAAATTATATTTTTGCATACAAGGTTGTAATTTTGTGGGAAAGTTTAGTGGCCCTTTAAGATACTTTGAAAAAATCCCCCTATAACACTGTCATAGAACCCTTATGATTACTTTCCCAACTGTAACTCAAACTGTAAGAATCA